AGTTTATTTTGGGTTAACTAATTATTTAGGATTTTCAAATTTTGCATGAGTTAATGTTGGTAATTTATGTTTTTGTAGGAATTCATGTGTTGATTAAATGTTTAAAATTTATTATGTTTGTGTCCTTTGTAAATATGCTAATGTTTAAAAGTTTTTTTCTATGGTGTTAGCTTTCTGTATATTATTTCCAAACTAGAGCGGTGGTCCAAACTCAACCTTCCTAATGCCACAACCCTTTAATACAGTTCTTCATGTTGTGGTGACCCCCAATTTCATTGTTACAGATTGAACATAATTAAAGCATAGTGATTAATCACAAAAACAATATGTAATTATATATGTGTTTTCTGATGGTCTTAGGTGACCCCTGTTAAAGGGTAGTTCGACCCCCAAAGGGGTCGCGACCCACAGGTTGAGAACCATTGAACTAGAGGCCTGGTGCACAAAATTAGTGCACGGGGTTGTGTGTGTCTCTCAGCCCAGCCTGCACCTCTCCAATCTGGGACACCTCAAGGGATGTCTGACTCTAACGGGCAGTTGGAAATCCCTCTCACAATCCAGGACTGCTGGCTCCCAACCGCTCTCCTGCCTGCCTGTTTGATTGCCCCTAACTGCTTCTGTCTGCCAGCCTGATCACCCCCTAACCGCTCCCCTGCCAGCCTGATCTACACCTAACTGCTCCCCTGCCAGCCTGATTGCCTCTAACTGCCCTCCTCTGCCAGCCTGGTCACCCCTAACTGCCTTCCCCTGCCGGCCTGGTCGCCCCCAACTGCCCTCCCCTGCTGGCCCAGTCACCCCTAACTTCCGTCCCTTGCCAGCCCGGTTGCCCCTAACTGCCCTCCCCTGCTGGCCTGTTTGCCCCTAACTTCAGGTCTGGTTGCCCCCAACAGGCCTGATTGCCCCCATCTGCCCTCCCCTGCCGGCCATCTTGTGTCCACATGGGGGCAGTCATCTTTTGACCACATGGGGTGGCCATCTTGTGTGTTGGAGTGATGGTCAATTTGCATATTACTCTTTTATTCGCTAGAATAAGGGGCCTTTTAGCCTTGGCTGTCATTTCTAGTGGTTAGAGCACTGGCCCATGCACCTAAGGGTTGCAGGTTGGAGGCCCTGCACTGGTTGGGGCATGTGTGGGAAGCAACCAATGTGTCTCTCACGTGGATGTTTCTCTATTTCTTCCCTCCTCCCTCTGTCTATTCCACTCTCTCTAAAAATCCATGGAAAACAATATCCTTGGGTGAGGATTAACAACAACAACAAAATAATGGGCTTTTAGATATATTAGTTCTGCCATTTAATTTATTAATTTTTGTTTTTATACATGTACTTTTCCTTGGGCCGGCAGGGGAGGGCAGTGTTGAATTATGAAACATTTTTAGCACAATACATATAGGAAATGATTTAACTACCTGAATGTATACTTACTACACAAGTAATAAGACACTGCATATAATATAAAGCTCACTGTGTGCTCCACCCCTTCCAGAAGTAAACACTATTATGAATTTGATGTTTATCATTCCCATCCTTGATTTTATATTTTCAGAATAGGTAGATATTTCCATAAAGAATATATAGTTTTGTTCTGCATGTTTTCACACTTTATATAAATGTCATACTGTGTGTATCATGCTAAACTTGACTTTTTCATTTCGTATTATGATTTTGAGGTTTTTCAAAGCTGATTTATATACTCTAGAGTCTTCTTTTTAGTTGCTTTTTAAAATCTATTCTATGAATAAAACAACATAGCTTATCCGCTTTAGTGGGGATTGAGGTTGTTTGTAATTTTTCATTTATAAATAAGACTAGAGGCTGGTGCGTGAAATTCGTGCATGGGGGAGGAGGACCCCTCAGCCTGGTCTGCACCCTCTCGCAATCCAGGACCCCTTGGGGGATGTCCGACTGTCTAAACCGGCAGTCGGACATCCCTCTTGCAATCTGGGACCGCTGGCTCTTAACTGCTCGCCTGCCTGCCTGCCTGCCTGCCTGATCACCCCTAACCACTCTGCTTGCCTGCCTCATCACGCCTAACCACTTGGCTGCCTACCTGATAGCCCCTAACCACTCTGCCTGCCTGCCTCATTGCCTGTAACTGTTTCTGTCTTGCCCCCACCACCGTGGCTTGGTCAGGAAGGACATCTGATATGACATCTGGAAGGTCATTTGGCTGTCTGGTCTAATTAGCATATTATTTTTTTATTATTATAGATTATGATAGACATTCTTGTACATGCCTGCTGTTAGCATTTGTGAGCATTATTCACAGGACAATGATTTTCAACCTTTTTTAAATCTCATGACACACATAAACTAATTACTAAAACTCTGGTACACCAAAAATATATTTTTTGTTGATCGAACAAAAAATAGGTATAATTTTGCTTCATTCATATTGGATGGCTATTGTGTTGGCTGCTGTCATTTTTTTTTTATTTGAAAGTCTAAGGGAAAAGAGGTCAGTGCCCCTGACTAAATAGTTAGGTATTGCATGTTTTAAAAATTCTTGAGGCACAGTGGTTGAAAATTGCTGTTCTAGAGTATAGTTTAAGGAGTAGACTTTTGTGTTAAGGTATATACACATATTGAGGTTACTGATATTGACAAATGACTTTCTACAGGGGTTGTACCAGTTTATACAAGTATATGGAAATAACTGTTACTCCATGTTTTTGCCAGCTTGCATTTGCTCATTCCTTTAAAAAAATTTCTTGACCATACTGCAAAGATCTTTTATTTTTAAATGTTTTTTTCAATTTTTATAATAATTGCTGAAATTTAGAAATACACCTCCCAGTATAACACTGGTTTTTTTCTTTTATTGTATGTATGTATGTATGTATTTAAATATATTTTTATTGATTTCAGAGAGGAAGGGAGAAGGAGAGAAAGATAGAAACATCAATGATGAGAGAGAATCATTGATTGGTTGCCTCCTGCCCGCCCCCTACTGGGGATTGAGCTCGCAACCAGGCATGTTTCCTTGATTGGAATCAAACCCAGGACCCTTCAGTCCACATGCCGACACTCTATGCACTGAGCCAAACCAGCTGGGGCAAAATGCTGGTTTTTAAAAATCACATGTGTTTTCTTAGTTTTATTGTGTTTTTGTAATCTCACATTTATTTTGGTTTATAAAAATATTTTAAATACATTTGAAAGGATATGGTTTTATATTTAATCTTTGACTGTTCATTTTTAGTTTTACTGTATTTTGTGAAAGTAATGTGCCTCAAATTGTTTTTACTTTTTGAAATTTGAGGATTGGACAATAGAAGGTATATTTTTCAAAAGAAGGTAACTTTTCTTTCCTTTTTTTTTTTTTTGGTTAATCCTCACTTGAGGATATTTTCCCATTGATTTTTAGGGAGAGTAGAAGAGAGAGGGAAAGACAGAGTAACATCAGTGTGAGAGAAACACAGCGATTGGTTGCCTCCTGCACGAGCCCCTACCCAGGCTGGGGAGGAACTTACAACCAAGGCACGTGCCCTTGACTGGAATTGCATTGGCACAGGTCGATGCTCTATCCACCGAGCCAAACTGGCTAGGGCAAAAGAAGATATATTTTCTTTATGGTGCTGTCATATTTTAATAAAATGATTGATCTGTCATGAATTGCTGGTGTCAGGGAATATCGTATTCTCTTGTTTTTATAACTCATTTCTCCTTGTAGTCCAATCTATTTTGCTTTATGTATTTTATATTATCTACATAAAATTTTATGAAAATTCTATATTATGTATGGATCCTTTATAAAATACCCTGTTTTACCATTTCATGCTCACCAGTGTGGTAAAAGTGAAAAATCTGATAATACCGGTATAGTCAAGGTTTGAAGAAATAGGAAACTCTCAGTGCTGCTGCTGAGAGAGCAGGTTGGTAAAAACTGTGTACAGGAGTTTGGCAATATCCTATAAAGCTGAAAATGTGTACACTACAACCTTGTAATTTCACTTTTAGGTATTTACTTAAGAGAAACTCTTGAAAGCATATGCAGGAATATTTACTGCAGTTTATTTTCTAATAGAGCAAAAATATAAGTGGTGTTAGTGCCTAAAAGTAGAATGGATCACACATTGTGGTAATTGATATTGTTTTGTGCTATATAGCATTTAAAATGAACAAGATTGATCTAAATTATCAAGATAGTTATATCTCAAAAATAAATGGGAATATGATATACAGACAAAAGTTAAATTCACTTGACAGATAATGTTTATGAAAACATCTAATATGTACTGTATGTATACATAAATAAACTGAAATGACACATATCAAACTTATGATAGCATTGGCCTCTAGAGAGTGAGAACAAAGGAAGCATGAACTTTATCTTAAAGTTTATCATCTGTAAATAAAAATAAACAACTGAAACATAAATTATTACCCATTGCAATGTTCCTGGAACTCAAGAAGTGTTGTTACTGTTCCGTCCTTTTCTCCAGGTTAGGAGATTATGGTTGATTGTCTTAAAAAGTTGTTTATACTATTTTATATTTTCCATATTCTGCACAATAAAACATGTTTCTCCATTATGATCAGAATGAAAACTTTAATTTAAAAAGACCCCTTTGATTTCTTTTTTTTGGAGGTCTGGGAGTGGAGTCTATGGGACACATGTTTAAAAACATTTTAAAATAAAATTGATTTCAGAGATAGGAAGGGAGAGAGAGATAGAAACATGGAGGAGAGAAAAACATTGCTGCCTCCTGCATGCCCCCTACTGGGGATTGAGCTCGAAAGTGGGCATGTGCCCTGACTGGGAATTGAACCTTCGACTTCCTGTTGCATGGGTCAACGCTCAACCACTGAGCAAAACCCGCCAGGTAGGACACTTACATTTCACTTTGGCCAATATTTAAAATTTTCCAGTGTATTGTCTTTCTTTTACTCTGTTGTCTACTATTTGCTAATCTTAATTTTTTTCTCTATATGGCTTTTCAATAAATAATTCAAACCATTGTTATGAATCTTATATATTGAACTTTTCTGTTGTACAGGTTAAAGAAGAGATGCTATTTGAATCATTAATTATGAGAAAGACTGTGACAGTGGGAGAAAAGCTTATTTTACCATACAGACTGGCAGAGGTATGAATAGATTTTCTCTGGATCAAAGTACTCTGATAATTTTTAGAAGTTTGGGTTGTGTCATTTATCTTAACACAAAATGAAAATTACAAGAAAAAATGTTGATTGAGATATTTCTGGGCCCTTGAAATTTGTGAACTTTCCATCAACTTGAAAACTTAAAGTTGAATGTGATTTAAGGAATTCGGCTTACATTTTTCTTAAAAGCTCTTAACCTATTCACCATTCTTAAGTTTCATATTAACTTAAGAGATGATAGAATTATAAATGAGCAATATATGACCCAATTGATTATTCCTTCTTTTTTGAAAGTATGTTTTTATTTATTTCAGAGAGGAAGGGAGAAGGAGAGAGAGAATCATTGATTGGATGCCTCCTGCACACCCTACACTGGGGTTCGAGCCCGCAACCGCAACCTGGGCATGTGCCTTGACTAGGGATTGAACCGTGACCTCCTGGTTCATAGATTGATGCTCAACCACTGAGGCAGTTTCTTATCTTTTGGTATTTCAGACTCTCCTGGTTTATTTTTTCAGTTTTTATTTTTGTTTGCTTTTTTTTTCTTTCGTTCTAACCTCTGAAAGATGTAATGCCCTATGACACAATCTTTATCTTTTCCTCTCTGTATTCTTTATCTAGATTATTTTACCCAGTCCTATGACTTCAAATATAACCTGTATAGTAAGGCTTCCAGGTGAGATTTATTGCTATAGTGAGCCATTGTTGTTGTACTATCCAGGTCTATAGAAGTAAGAAACTACTGAAAATCTGATTATTTTTAATGTAATTTTATGGAAATGATAAGAAATGAAACTCTATGAGAGTTATAAAAATAGGACAGCAATATGAGATTAGAAGACACAAGGGTGGGGAAATAATGATTGAACTGTAGAGAATGCTTTATGGACTGACGTTGATCCATTTATCCCACTTTTTGGGTCCCTCCTAACTGTACCTACAAGTCTACATATTTTCATTACGTCATGTATCTTATGTCATATTTTATAATGTCCACCTTTGAGAGCTTTTTTCTAAATAGCAGAAAAAGCCAACCTGTTTTTGTGTAAGGTTTCATTGCTTTTGTATTTTCTTTAACAACTTTTTTCATTATAAAACATTTTAACTTTAAATTTAGTTTTTTGAGATTATATTTATAGCCTCTGCTTTATTTTTTATTTATATTTGTTTAGGGTATTTGTTTAGAAATATGTGCTTATAAATGTGCTAGGCATTAGGTATAAATGAGGAGCAGTCCATAAGGCTTTTAGAATTTCATCTGAAGATAAATGGAAATTTCCAAATAAACCTTCACTCTGGCAGCAGTGTGGAGAGTTATTTGGAAATGAGTATATTAGTTTTGTGTAGCTGTGTAACAGACTTAGCCACTTAATACAATTTTATTTTCTGACAGTTTCCAAAATCATGTCTGGGCAGAGGTTAGCTGGGTACTCTGCTCAAGGTTTCACCAGGTTGAAGTCAAGATGTATGTCAGGGCTGTGTTCTCATCTGAGACTCAACATCTCCTTTCAAGTTCACAGGTTGTCGACAGGATTCAGTTTGTTGCAGTTGTAGAACTGAGACCCTGAATTCCTTGTTGGTTGTCAAGAGCCATTCTCAGCAGCTAGAGTCCTGTTCACAACATAGCAGTTTGCTTCTTCAACGCCAGCAGGAGAATTTCTAATGAAAGAAATCAGTTTCTTTTAAGAGTTTTCTCTGATTAAGTCAGTTCTATCCAGGATGATCTTCCTATGATTAAGTAAAAAAATAAAAAAAAAAGTCAGCTGATTTGGGGCCATAATGAAATCTTTAAAATCTCTTCATCTTTGTCATATAATATATGACAGTTAGTGGAATGAAATCCATCATAGTTACAGTCCTGCTCACACTTAGGTTCTGTACATGTGATATAGACCATGTACAGCAGGAGATGGGAATCTTGGGGATCATTTTAGGATTAGGAAACAAGGCAAGAGTGAACATGGAAAGATTAATTTGGAGGCTGTATTAGTACTGAGGAGAAAGGTGTTTGCTGCTTTGTCTAGAATGGTAAGGTACTTGTAGGGAGAAATCATTATAGTTAAAACGAAAGAAATTTAGATGGTGAAACCAACAGGATCTGTCAATGATTTGCTAAATGGGAGGCAAGGAAGAAGAAATAATGTCAAGGATGAATCCTAATTTTCTGGTTCACAGAACTATAACAATATTGGTATTATTCAGTGAGATAGGAAACACTAAATGAGATCTTGTTTGTGTGGGAAAATATTAATTGATATTGGGCTTATAGAGATTAAGCTGTGATAGGCAGGACTGCATTTCAAAAAATAGGGGCCAAAAATATAATATTGGGAATTGTGGGGTTAATAAGTATTGGTATACTTTGGTAAATCTGGATTCTATTTAACTACATTTTATGAAAATAGTATCTAACTCTAAACCATAAATAAGTGGGTCTTAGTTTTTAATTTAATATGAATTTCAGTCTTTTAACTAAAAAATTAACCCATTAAATTTAATGGGTTGAAATAACCAATATTTTGTCTTCTCTTTTTTTTTGTATCTTGCTTGTTTATTTAGATTTAAAGTGTTTTACTTTTGCTGAATATGATCAGATTATCTTTATTCCCTTTTCTCCTTCTGGGAAAAATAGAATGGCAATTTTTTCTAGATATTCTATTGTGATTTTATTGGTATTTTAAAGATACTTTGTTGATAATTTGCATAAGTATAGAATTCTAGGGACACATTCCTTTTTCTCTGAGAACTTGTAAATATTTTCCAATTATTTTCAAGTTGATAATGTTAAAGATAGAGAATTTGATAACTGTCTTCTCTTTGGTAGTGGTTTTTAGGTAGCAGTAATATTTTTGGCTAGAACTTGAAGCTTTCTTTTTTTTTTAACTGAAATTCAGAAATTTAGTCATGATCTGTATGATACCTATTTTGCAAATGTGTAAGCTGTAGCCTAAGAGTTTAAATAATTTGACTAAAGTCACACAACTAGAATAAGTAGAGAATTTGGTATTGGAAGGTAGTCCAGCTATTAATCATTACTCTTTACTTCTTCTAAACTTCAGAACTGAATATAAATGTGAACCTGAACATACACTCTTCAAAATAAGTCCTTAGGTGATAACTATATAAATAATTGTATTCTAAGTGCTAAGACTTAAGATTATCTAAGACATATGTCCCCCCCTTTAGGTTGTAGTACTTTTTTTTATTTTGAAAAAAATATGTTTTTATTGATTTTCTTTTTTGAGAGAGAGGGGAGGGTACAGGGATAGAGAAATAGAAGCATTGATGAGAGAGAAGCATCATCAATTGGTTGTCTCCTGTACACCCCATACTGGGGATGGAGCCGGCAACCTGAACTTGAACCAGTCACCTCTTGGTTCATGGGTTGATACTCAACCACTGAGCCACACTGGCTGGGTGGTTGTAGTACTTTTAAAATGTTGAATTTTCTTTAACTAGTAGAATTTGTGTTTTAGAACAATTTCAGATTTACAGAAAAATTGACCAGTTAGTCCAGAGTTTCCATAAACTGGGGAAAGTTTGAAATGAGGGAATAATAAATTGCATAGCTCCGTAATGAAAGAATTGTTACTCTGTGTAGGGATGGAGAAATTCTAGAAGCTACTCTTGATGACAAGCTGAAGATAACCAGGAATGTAGCTGTAGTAATATTATGGTTATGTTTTAAGAATCTGACTGGGATTCTGCACATAATTGATGGCCTTTTTGCTAACAGATTTATTGCTTTGCATAGAATACTCTTCCCCACTTTAGATGGCAAGGTCATTTGTTTGTAAACTTCCTGTTATACCTTCTTTACCAGGTGAAAAAAAATACACACACACACACACACAACCACATATACACATACACATACATTAATTTTCAGTAAAACTATTTTGAACTGAATAACCTTCATTTTTCCTTATTTTTCAAGACAGTTTTAGCCTAGATTCTTTGAGTTGGACTAAATCAATGAATGTATATAGAAAACTTATAGCTTACTATAATTAGAGGTACTTATATTGAGAGAAAACTTAATTTTGAATTCATGCTAGTAAACTTTTTTCTTTAATGAGAGCAAAGCACACTTTGTTATAATATCTTAGTTAGATTATTGCTAATTTCACTTGTATTCATAACCCTTTCTTTTTTTTTCAGGCTGTGACAGTGAGGAATTCCATGGCTAAGTCTTTATATAGTGCCCTATTTGACTGGATAGTTTTTCGGATTAATCATGCACTTCTGAATAGTAAAGATTTGGAGCAAAATACTAAGGTAGACATACATAAATTATATATTTTTACTAGAAAATGGTTTTAATAAAATGGTTAATGCATTAAATTTAAAAAGACAGAGTTATGTAAAAGTCATAAATAAGAGTCATCTTTTATCTCTATTCCCTGCTGTTTTCTTCCTTATTTCTGTTTTTATTATCCTGTGAAGAGGAGGTGTTAATCTGTGTCTTTTTTCTTATGTACTTACATTCCTATAAATGTCCATATAGAGTTGCTTTTAAACACAAAAATACAATTATGATATTGTCATTGTAAGAAATGTCCTAACCTGTTGTGGATTTCTATGACCTAATTTGAGCCAAACTGACGATATATACTGGAGAGCAGCAGGATCTCAAGTACTGGGGAGAATAGTATTTTTTGCAGTTTCTTTTATGCATTTGAAATTAGGAGGGAATTTAGGAAGATTACCTAAAGGTGGGAGGATTCAACAGAATAGTTAAGATTATGTGCTCTCTTGAGAGTTAATACCACCTTCGAGGGTTATTGCTTCTGGTTTTTCAAAGGTGCGTTAACCTAGATGCACTGGAACAGTGGACATGGCTGGCTTAAAGCTTTTCACCAAAGAGGTTGTAGGCCTGGGACATGACTCCCCATAGTGAACTGCCTACTTAGGCATTTATGAGAAGGTCACCGTGAGGTTACTTTCCACAGAACCCCCCATTGTGTCCACAGTCTCTGTATTGGTCTGTGTGTGTTTAAACCTAGTATGTCTTGAAATATAGCTGTACCTCATTGTTTTATTTTTATTTTTTTAAAAAATATATTTTTATTGATTTCAGAGAGGAAGGGAGAGGAAGAGAGAGATAGAAACATCAATGATGAGAGGGAATCATTGATTGGCTCCCTTCTGCATGCTGGACCGAGCCCACAACCCAGGCATGTGCCCTTGACCGAATTGAACCTGGGACCCTTCGGTCTACAGACTGATGGCCTATCCACTGAGCCAAACCAGCCAGGGCCTCATTGTTTTATTTTAGTTGAATTTATTATGGTGACATTGGTTAATAAAATTACATAGGTTTCAGGTGTGCAATTCTATAATACATCCTCTGTATATTTATTCTTTTTACCACCACACATCAAGTCCCCTTCCATCACCATTTATCCCCCCCCCCCCCTTAAGCCCTCTTTTACCTCCCCTATCCTCCTTTTTCTTTGGTAATCACCATAGTGTTGTCTGTGTCTATGAATTGCTGTTTTGTTTTGTTTTTTATTAATCCCTTCACCTTTTTCACCTGGCCCCTAAAGAGAGGAAGGGAGAGGAAGAGAGAGATAGAAACATCAATGATGAGAGGGAATCATTGATTGGCTCCCTTCTGCATGCTGGCCCGAGCCCACAACCCAGGCATGTGCCCTTGACCGAATTGAACCTGGGACCCTTCGGTCTACAGACTGATGGCCTATCCACTGAGCCAAACCAGCCAGGGCCTCATTGTTTTATTTTAATTGAATTTATTATGGTGACATTGGTTAATAAAATTACATAGGTTTCAGGTGTGCAATTCTATAATACATCCTGTATATTTTTATTCTTTTTACCACCACACATCAAGTCCCCTTCCATCACCATTTATCCCCCCCCCCCCCTTCCTCCCTCCCTCTCTACCTGTGCTGC